TGCAGTATGCAACAAATGGGGACATGGAAGGTGTGAATGCCGGCAAGGCTTTACGCTAATCAAGAAGGATGCTTCGCGTGCTTTGAAGAAGCATGAAGCCACACCAAAAACTGGCAAACCCGAGATTGCAGCAACGATTACAGACTCCATGTCCACGATCAAGGCTACGGATTCTGCGAAGCGCGCATCCGGTGCAACCTCCTCTAACCCCGACGCGAAGGCGAAGGAGAATATACCTATGAACCACCGTCCACGGCTCCTCCTGCTGTCGGCTCTTCGGCTCCTTTACGAGTCGCGTCGGAACAGATCGTCAGCGGGTCAGCCGGGCAGGCGATCAGAAAACTTGGATTCGTCGCCAGGCCACCTTTCTTCCAGCTGGTCGGAGCAGTTCCTGCCCAAACTCTTGGTGGCTGTCCAAAAGAAGCCTTTGTGGCAGCTTCCTTCGTGAAATCATTGAGAGGTACGGAGCTCGGCCAACATCATGTCGGATGGATGTTTTCCATAGGTGTTCGTCTCACTTAACCGTGGGGTGTTCATCGGCGATTCCTCCACCTATGTTTCGAGCCGTGGCAGTTTCTTATGGGCTTTGTCGAACCTTGATCATAGATTTTCGAGATTCATGATTCTGCGGCTTCCGCCAGTGCTCACGGCATCGGTGTGGCAGTGCTTCGTAATAAGCTTAGCTTCCGAAATACATTTGGGGTGGACTGAAGCTTTCATAGGCGATATATGGTCAGGCGTCTGGCGTTCCCAGCCCCCCCCCCCCCAATGGTATGGTCTGCTAGGGGTGGGGGGGGGGGGCTGGCGTGCGCGGAAAGGGGTCGGGGCTGTTGGAGCTGCCACTGGATGCTGGGATGGTGCTGGCGGCCAGGGCTCGCACGCAAGCCCTTCGCAAGCAAGCCGTCAGCCCTATAACGCAGCGCGTGCTCCGGTTTTGAGTACTCTTAACTTGTACTTCAAACCCTACACCCAACCCTAAACCCCACCTAACTGCGGGCTCTAAGCCTAAAGCAGAACATACGCCGCAAATCCTCCTTAAGCCCTTGTCGACTCGAAGCGCTACACCTTGTAACCGTAAACCCAGCACTCAAAAGCTTAAGCTAAACCCTAAATCCCAAAACCCCACAACCACCCCACAGGGGGAAGAGGGACCCCCACACCCCACACCACAGGGGAGGGGGGTCCCACCCTATATCCGGACCATTGGCCTTTGGGGGGGGAGGGGGGTGGCCGCGGAGCGCGTGACCATATATGGTCAGGCGTCTGGCGTTCCCAGCCCCCCCCCCCCCAATGGTATGGTCTGACAGGGGTGGGGGGGCGGGGGGCCCTGGCGTGTGCGGAAAGGGGTTGGGGCGGGCCGTTGGAGCTGCCGCTGGATGGGGGCGGTGCTGGCGGCCAGGGAAAACGTGCAAGCCCTTCGCAAGCAAGCCGTAAACCCTATGACGCAGCCCGTGCCCCGATTTTGAGCAACCTTAACTTGTACTTAAAACGCTACACCCAACCCTAAACCCCACCTAACTGCAGGCTCTAAGCCTAAAGCAGAGCATACACCGCAAATCCTCCCTAAGCCCTTGTCGACTCGAAGCCTTATACTTTGTAACCGTAAACCCAAAACTCAAAAGCTTAAGCTAAACCCTAAACCCCAAAAGCCCACAACCACCCCACAGGGGGAAGAGGAACCCCACACCCCACACCACAGGAAAGGGGGGGGCCCCACCCTATATCCGGACCATTGACCTTTGGGGGGGCAGGGGGGGGGGGGCTGCGGAGCGCGTGACCATATATGGTCAGGCGTCTGGCGTTCCCAGCCCCCCCCCCCCCAATGGTATGGTCTGACAGGGGGGGGGGGGGGCCTGGCGTGTGCGGAAAGGGGTTGGGGCCGTTGGAGCTGCCACTGGATGGTGGGGCGGTGCTGGCGGCCAGGGCTCACGCGCAAGCCCTTCGCAAGCAAGCCGTAAACCCTATGACGCTCCGCGTGCCCCGGTTTTGAGCAACTTTAACTTGTAGTTAAAACGCTACACCCAACCCTAAACCCCACCTAACCGCAGGCTCTAAGCCTAAAGCAGAGCATACACCGCAAATCCTCCCTAAGCCCTTGTCGACTCGAAGCCTTATACCTTGTAGCCGTAAACCCAAAACTCAAAAGCTTAAGCTAAACCCGAAACCCCAAAACCCCACAACCACCCACAGGGGGAAGAGGAACCCCACACCCCACACAGGGAGGGGGGGGCCCCACCCTATAACCGGACCATTGACCTTTGGGGGGGAGGGGGGGGGGGGCTGCGGAGCGCGTGACCATATATTCATATGTTTTTTTGTGGTGTGGTCCTGTTGCTGAGCATACCCCATTTTTGGTGGGTCAGTTTTCCTGGTGATCGTTTCTGCTCCGGCTTGGTTTGGAGGGAATGCAAAATGCGATATGTTTGTTTGAACGCAACGGTACAAGTCTTATTTAATGTATGTTACCTGTACATGTTATGTAACATGCATGGCGTGAGCACATGACTGCCGGCCATGTCTTGGTATCATCCCGTATTATATTTTGTCAGAAAATACCGTGCGGCAAAAGTCTTTTCAAATTCAATTCGGACACTATCATATCACATACAGACTTCTCGAAATCTCCACATATTCATGGGCTCATGTACGTAGATGCGCCTCATGCATATACACATACGTGTACATCTGCCCCGACACAGTCGCACAGCAATGCACAGCACAGTACATGTACACATGCATGTTCATGCCATGCTCAACATCCCGTTTCTGTTGTTTCAGAAGATACCTAATTCCAACCATCTAACATGTACCAGTTTTCGGCATTTAAATTCGGTTGTCAAGTGCGTAACATACAGCAGAGTGAGCATCCAGTGCACTGGATATTTTGTTGCGCTATTATCACTCAATCATCAATCCAGAACAAGAGGCTATGGAGTCAGAACAGGCATAAAGCCAAAGGGTCAACAGTAGCATGACTTATGACGTCAAGCCGAGACGTCTGAATAGCGGTACAACCGGGATGAATGCAAAAAACTGGGATATCGTGGTGCTGCACCCGGCTGGTCATCTTGGATCCTGTCATATCACCCGCGACTGGAAGCCATCGCAAGCTGTTGCGAGCTGAAAAGATCAGGAGGAGCAGAAGCGAACCATTCTGGATTGCCCATAGTTTGGAGAGGTTGTAGACTGCCTACATAACTGGGAACTTGCTTCAACGTATCAGATTGAGCTTTCAGTTGGCGGCTTGGGATAGAGTGTTCGCATCGCAGCCAATGCCTTTGAAACTTGCCATGCAGGTGGCGTGTGGCAGCAGGCGGGAAAGATCCCGGGGCAGGGGTGCAAGATGGGGGCTTTACGTCGACCTAGACTTCTTTGCGGCCAGGCCGTGACTACTGATTCCTTAGCCTTATGAGACCCAGTCCCTGCAACCCTTGGGATGGTCTGAAAACATTATTTGTGTGAGGTTTTGTGTGAGCGAGAGTGTGAGCGGAAGTGTGAGGCTGAGTGTGAGCGGGGATTCTGAGTGCGAGCGGAAGTGTGAGCGGGAGTGTGAGAGGGAGTGTGAGTGGGAGTGTGAGAGGCCCATTCATGCTCACACTTCCGCTCACACTCCCGCTCACACTTCCGCTCACACTTCCGCTCACACTCCCGCTGTCACACTTTCACAGCAAGAATGTGTGAGCCGGAGTGTGAGCGGGAGTGTGAGCGGAAGTGCGAGCGGAAGTGTGAGCGGGAGTGTGAGAGGGAGTGTGAGCGGGATCCGGGGTGTGAGTGGCTCATTCATGCTCACGCTTCCGCTCACACTCCCGCTCACACTTTCTGCTGTGTTTTACAGCAAGAATGTGTGAGCCGGAGTGTGAGCGGGAGTGTGAGCGGAAGTGCGAGCGGAAGTGTGAGCGGGAGTGTGAGAGGGAGTGTGAGCGGGATCCGGGGTGTGAGTGGCTCATTCATGCTCACGCTTCCGCTCACACTCCCGCTCACACTTTCTGCTGTGTTTTACAGCAAGAATGTGTGAGCCGGAGTGTGAGCGGGAGTGTGAGCGGAAGTGCGAGCGGAAGTGTGAGCGGGAGTGTGAGAGGGAGTGTGAGCGGGATCCGGGGTGTGAGTGGCTCATTCATGCTCACGCTTCCGCTCACACTCCCGCTCACACTTTTTGCTGTGTTTTACAGGAAGAATGTGTGAGCGGCAGTGTGAAAGGGAGTGTGAGCGGGATCCGGAGTGTGAGTGGCCCATTCATGGTCAGTCACACTTTCGCTCACACTCAACCTCACACTCAACCTCACACTTCCCGATGGGCTGGAAATCCATGCTCACACTTTCGCTCACACTTTCGCTCACACTCAACCTCACACTCAAACTCACGAAATAAACATTTCCTGGAATCCAAGCACTTGCAGGGTACCGGGTGTCACAACCTTAGCCAATCGTAGGACACCCCAGCTGCATCATCGACTGTATCATCTGTAGCTTATGACTGATTCTGCAGGTTGCGGCTTTCTACGCAGTGCCGAGTGTGGTTAAAGCGTTGGATGTCAGCTGTCAACTTTGAAGTTGTTGACTGGGCCATTTTGCCGTCATGCTCCGGGCGCTCCAAGTGCTCTTTTGAGTCGCTCTCCTTGCCCGATAGTGAGAGGGAGAGCAATGCTGATCTGCTTGTCTTGATTTCCTTCTAAGCAACGCACACTGTCTTGTTGGAAGCCATTACGACACACAAGTTCTTGTCCTAAGGAAATTGTAAAACAAGCATGAAGCCCCATTCCGAAGCCCCAAGATATCTCCAACACTAAGCCCCAAAGCAACTCTACCCCCTCAACCAGAATTGAATCGTGGACCCTCAACCAAAAGCCGAAGCCGTAAGAAACCCTGCGAATAGCCCATGACCCCCTCTAAAATCCCAGAAAGACCTTTGTCAAACCCGTACAGCACCCCTGCCCTGCACTCTAACCCTGAACCCTAAGCCCTAAACCCGAAGCTCTTTCAAAACGGAGGCTTTGGCCGGCATGGATCTTTTGAGACAAAGCTTCCTGGAGGCTTCCCTGGTCTCCTGGAACTCGGCGAGCCCCGATTTCGATCATCTATTCTGCTCATTTACTGCTACTATGATTGCTATGACAGATTAGTTGGTACTATGGTTACTATGTTTGTTGCTCTTATGCTTGTTTATACACTTCTCTATTGGGTTTGGACGAACGTAAAAAGTCTTGGGCAGGGTATTTGCAGCTTTCTGAGCTTCTACACACAGCACATGATGATCTTCACGCTGGAACGGTGACACATGTGGTGCCACCACTTGGTCGCATGTTGAAGTTTTGGCGCGCCAGATGCCCGGGGAGCACAAAGCTTCGCTTCTCAGGATGAACGCCTACGAAAAGGCCGAGAAGTGGGAAGATGCCCTAGTGCAGGCCAGGCTGGGGCCTTGGATGCGCCAGTGGCGGTCGGGTTTAGAGGCTACCTAATATAGGGGCCCATTGAACTACAACTATAATAAAGAACCCCATTATAGTATACATAAATATTAAGGCTCCTATCCTTCAACCCCCGAGAAGTGTGGGCCGTGCCAGCACAGGATAACGGATATCAGGGCGGAGGTTTTCCCAGGTGACTGCCCATGAAGACCCCAACGTGCCAAACAGAAACAGACAAAAGCTGCAAGTTCTCGCGAGGTGGAGAAGATGCGTGCCTTGCGCGTGGAGCCGGACGTGATCACTCTCAATACAGCGATAAGTTCCTGCGAGAAGGGGGCATGCTGGGAAGCAGGCTGGGACGAACACCAAAGCCAAGCTTATGCAGTACTTTTGCTCAAGACTTTTACCTATACTTTTGCGGTCGTTTCTCCTCCCTCATGCTTTGTTCCTTTGCTAGGGCTTGCTCTTCTTGGCTCCATGGCAGAGTCGGACGTCGTCCCGGTGCCTTATTTGTTGCTTTGGAGAAGCCATGCGTCTCTTGAGTTTGTACTCGCCAAGATATCTCTGGGGTTCTGCCGAAGCCGAGGACGTCATCTCCTTCAATGCAGCCATAAGTGCCTGCGAAAAGTGTGGGCAGTGGCAAGAAGGCCCTCGTGGGATTCTCGACATGCCCCCGAATGAGCAGGTGATGTCTTCCCAGATGACGATGCTGGTTCGAGCACGGAAAGATGCGTTTCTGTTCGTGTCGCATGATTGTCTTGGCCTTTTTGATTGGGAGGCGTCGCGGTGCTTTCGTCTATGGCCAGCTATCGTCTCACCTCCGACGTGTCCCTGGGCTGATGGCCTGTTCTGTGCCCTTGTTGAACACCGACAGCACTCCAAACCTGGAATACGACCCAATGATCACCGCCGTTCCCAAAGGATCTCCTTCAATGCAGCCATCAGTGCCTGTGAGAAAGCAGCCAGGCCCGCCCCTTACGTTTTTCCTGCTGGTGCGTGCGCAGCTCACAACAGACCCATCAGAGGTGGCAGGAGGCTCTTCAACTGCTGGATGTGCCTCGGCGTGATAGCCAACGTGCGTCGGACAGGCGCTCTTGCAAGACTGCACTGACAGGCCATGGCGGTGACGGAGCTGCACCCGGACGTCGTGTCTTTCGGTGCAGCCATCAGCGCTCTGGAGAAAGGCGGCCACTGGCGTATGGCGCTGGAGAGGGTTGGGTTTGTCTGCTTTGCCGCAGGGATGCATACTACAGGGGCCTTCATAATTAGAACAGGGTTTTGGGGCCCAGTATACTATAATTATACTGTAGTAAGGAACCCTTTTTTGTAGCCTTTATTCCCTATCAATCAGGAGCTGCTAGCTCGGATGCCGGAGTTTGGCATCTTGCCCAACATCTTCGCCTTCAACTCTGCTTCCAGGTGGCAACAAGGAACATGTGAGAACGGTCCCAGACTTCCGAAGAGGAGCTGCGATGTAGGAATCCAGCAGGTTTCGACCAATCATGCTAACAGACATGATGTTGCAGTATGTTGCTTTGTAATGCATCAATATCTCTATCTGTAACCATACTTGTATCTATATCTATGTCTTTATATACGTATGCATATATATATATATATATATATACATAGATACATATGGTGCCCCCACATGGATCCACGTTTTTGGGCCTCATGTATGTGCAGCTTGTCGTTTTGCATACGTACATGCATACGTACATGCATACGTACACATACACATACATACGTACACATACCTATACATGAGCAACTTGTGCGGGTGCAATTGCATGTGATGTCCATGTGTTTACATCTGTAACTAACCACCTAAACAAGTCAGTATACATACATATGTACATAAGTTTGTATATATAGATGCATACACACATACATACAGATATATCTTCGTGTATGTACATACTTGTTTATGTATGCAGATCTACCTCTTCATAATGACACTTGTCTGTGCCTCCAGGCGATGAGCGCTTGCGCGGTTCAGGTGCAGTGGCAGCAGACTCTGCGGCTCTTCGCGCAGCTCCCGAGCCCCGGCTTCAAATCTGTCGGAGTAGTCCTGAAACCAAAGCGCCACGTACCTTTTAATCGGCAACTAGCGAGCGAGCCTGGGCAGAGCTGAGGGAGCAGCATTGCCGCATGCTGTTATATCCTGACGCCACTTCTCAACTTCTGTTGCTAGACTCGCCGCTCCGGGCAAGTTGGAATACTTCAAGATGGCCACCGAGAACACTCGAAGGTTTTGTTCAGAAAGTCAGAAACTGAAAGCATCAAATGTTCCAACATTGGAGACTGCTAGCTTGGACATACTACTAGTGACACTCGTCACGTAATTTCGCTGGGAGGGGAAATGGGTGTGTAGATCGGCACGTGGGCCGCAGGCCCTGCACGCCCTCGATCATATCTACACACAAACATTATGTGCACCTGCTTGCTTGTCTGTCTCTCCATAGGTCTGTGCGCAGGTGTTTGGACCTGGATGCGTGTGCACTTGCATGAATCTGGCTTCTTGTGCAGGGATGTGCATGGGTGCGCACGCAGGAAACACTGAGCACTGGTATGTATGTTGCGTACAGCATGCATGGCACGTTTGGCGTGTGTGTCGTGTCTTATCAGTTCTTTTCCTTTCTGTCGTGTACGGCTAGTGGTAGTGGTAGAAAGTTGTGGTTCCACGACCCCTAAACCCGAAAAGCCCTAAAAACCCCAAAAGCCCTAAACACTCTTAAAAATTCTAAAAGCCCTTAAACACCTTAAAAACCAGTAAAAACCTTAAAAACCCTAGAAACCCCTAAAAACCCTTAAAAACCCCAAACCGTGGGACGCTTTCGGCTCCCTGCTTCTGCTGATCTGCTTTGCCGGGGCTTTGCCCCAAGATATGTGAATCCCTTGGAGGTTCATGGGTAACTATAAGTGGGGGGTTATAAGTATGGTAACTAACTATACGTATAGTTCATATTAGGCGACTTATAACTCTATTTGTAACCCAATCGCCGGGTTTTCCGCGCCGTGCCCCCATGCGCTGAGAAAACACATCTGGTAATTTAGGACAGTTCTGGTTAGAGTCAAAGGGTGGAAAAGAAGTGAGTTTCGAGAAACGGTGGGCTCGTCATGCTCATGATGCTGGCTTTCTTGTGCGGACTTGAGCCTTTCTCATGCTGTGGGTGTTCTTGTTCAACATAAGCCCGGAGTGTCACTGCTGAAAGAGCTTTCTTCCCCCCTTCCCTTGGGCGAAAGTTTTATGTAAGGTAAGTCTGTTTAGGTATCGTGCGATCACGCCATACTTCTTTGTGTTACATCTTCTACATGTAAGTATATGTTCATATGTAGTAACGTAGTGTGTTATGTAGCTAAAGTATCCTACGCATGTGCATGTGTGTCTACGTTGCGCATCCGACGAGTGACAGTGGATATGCAGCCACACCGATGGATCGAGCTACATAGCTGGACACCAGATCTTGCAGTGGATAGATAACTGAAGCAGCCGGACGGGCAGATAGGTAGCTGACTGCACAACAGCAGCCCAGTCCAGGATCAATTCCGTGCAACCTCAGGGCATCACCTACAATGCCACTCGCCTGCAAGCAGCTGCAAGCAGCTTGCACTGCGCCGGATCTCGCGGGCTTGGACTGTGCAATGGCGCCTTCCTGTCATGTCAACAGGTTGTTGCAAAAAGGCTAAGGCTGAAGCTTCGCTCCGTAGAGACAAGCTGGTACACCGCAAAACTATGCTTCTGCGCTGCGGATGCGCCAGGCAGCTATTACTGCGTGCGAGAAGGCGGGAGATGGGATATGATGGGATGCCGGGCGGTTGTAGGCGACGAGAACGATTCGGTCTAGGATGCGGCACCCAAGATTCACCTCAGTTGAAGCAGAGCAGAATTGCAGAAACGGAACCAGGTGGTAGTATTGTTTAGTGCACGCACACAGAGACAGCAGGATGGCGACGGACAGCAGACACTTCAGAGGCACACATAAAGGCATGTTTCCATTTTCGTGAGGGCGAGTTTGTTCTCCGGTATGACGGTCTCCGAAGCTTCCTTCAACTTCTGGGAAGCTCACAGAAACCTGACCTCGGAGGGTGGCCAATGGCAACGAGCTCTGTTGCTGCTTGCAGAAGAGGGCAGCGCAGGACACCGGCAGGGTTCTGGGAAGTTTCTGGGTCCTGCAACAGTTCTTTTTGGAATGACATCACCGTCTTACAAAGCATCCGAGTGCTGCATTCTCCCAAGTCCTCAGCCTGCAACCACGGCCGAAAACCCGACATCAGCCCACTAACCAAGTCGGAACAGCGCAGGACTTCAGCGTGACGTCGTAGCGTACAACGCAGCCATCAGCTCGTGCGAGAAGTGTGGTGTCCTGCCTGAAATGTCTCGAATGCCTGTAAGCTTGGCTGGACTTGCAGATGCCGCTGATGTGCTGCATGCTTGCACTCACTGATGCGACTTCGCATGTGAGGCCAATGGCATGTTGCCTTGGCCGTACTGGCGAAGATGCTTGCCTCGACTGTTGCGCCGGCACTTCGGCGGCGTTTTACTAAGTGAAGCTGCGCGCTGATTGATGCTGGTTGCAGGGCAGTTCGTCATGAAGTAGTTTGGAAATCCTTGGGGCCAATTCTGCTGCCGATGTGCAGCTGCCGGCACAGACTGCAACAGCACAAGGACGTCATTACCTATGCGGCAGCGATCAGCGCCTGCGAGAACGCGGAACAGTGGGAGGAGGTGCAAACCCTGCCTGGAGCAAAGCGAATCCGAAGAATCAAAGTTCTCTCGTGGAGTAGACAAAAAAACACATATATATATATACACATATATATATATATGTATATATATATATATATATATATATTTGTGACTTATATGCACATACATATACATAAGCAGTAGAATCTCTCTCTCCCTCTCTCTCTCTCTGTCTCTGTCTTTCTATACATATATATATATATATACATATATGTGTAGATAGATAGAAATAATGCACGTAGGCGCTGGTGCTCCTGGAGCAGCTGCAGAGCTTTCGACTCTCAGCGAACCTGATCACGTCATCCGGCGCAAGATCAGAAGGATCAGCTATGATTAGGGTTCAGGGTTTAGGGTTTAGGGGAATGATCAGCTGTGATTAGCTGCTTGGCGACCGGCTTCTTCCGGCGGGATGCTTCATCGCACAACTTGTCTCGGACTGATGCCAAGGTACAGCGCGGCCATCAGTGCATGTGAGAAAGGTGTCAAATGGCAGCCCCTTGACCCCATGACTCAGTCTGACATATCGCAATCAGTATTTATGTTCGTGCTGTTTTCACCATGTGTCAACAAGAACAAATGATGGTTAGAAAAACACAATGCTTGTAGTTGTTTTCGTCACTATCATCATGACCATGACCTGCATCTTCATCTGCATCTTCTTCGTCATCATCGTCAGCTTTGTCAATACTTACACCGCTGCCACCACCACCATCATCGTCATCGTCGCCATCGCCGTTTTCCTCCCCTCCTGCTCCTCCTCGTCCTCCTCCTGCTCCCTCCTTCTCCTCCTCCTCCTCCTCCTCCGCCTCCGCCTCCTTATCCTCATCCTCATCCTCATCCTCATCCGCATCCTCATCATGGTCATTATCATCATCATCATCATCCTCATCCTCAGCATCGTCATCATCATCGTCCTCCTCCTCCTCCTCCTCCTCCTCCGCCTCCTCCTCAACATCATCATCATCATCATCACCATCATCATCGCCATCGCCATCGCCGTCGTCCTCGTCCTCTTCCTCGTCTTCGTCATCGTCCACATCCTCATCATACCATCATCATCATTTTCATCACCATCCTCATCCTCATTCTCATCCTCACACCCATCATCATCATCCTCGTCCACCGCCGCCGCCTCTTCTTTTTCTTCCTTATCCTCTTCCTCCTGCAACAATCATAATCGCCAGCCTTGCCAGTGTCAGGTCCTCTCGTTATGGCATCAGAAGGTTGCTTCAGCAAGCCTTGAGAAGAATCATCATCGTAATCGCAGTTTATGGTGTACGGCCACGACACAAGATTCCGAAATCTGCTGTCCAGCCAAACGCCTGAGGGGGCTAAGTTCTCTTCTTTCTACGAACGCCGGCTGAGGCTGGCCTTGGCACTTTTTCACCAGATGCGCTCGCAGCGGCTGCTGCCTGACCTGATTGTGTTCAATGCCACCATCCTGTCCTGCGCGAGTGCAGGCTGCGCTCTATAGGGGCTTCCGCTAATAGGATCATCGAGGGACCTCAGCCCACCCCTTCTGGTCAGGGATATGGCAGCCCACGCTGGCCCTTCTCACGGAGCTGCGCCGGCAGATGCTGCCTCCTGGTGTACAATGCTTCAGTGCAATCACAGGCGAGAGCGACGGGGCCAAATGTCCAGCATCTTCCCTCTGCCCCCTGCAGCAAGCCTGTTTGCAAAATAATCTGTCAGGTGCTTGTACGAAGGGGCGTCAGATGGCACGTGCCTGTGATGTGGCGGTGGCCGTCGAACAGACCTCTCTGCGCCTTCTGCGGGGCGTTTGGGCGCAGAAAAACTGGAACGGCATGCATCGCCTCCCAAGCCTTATTAGGTCGTCGCAGGTCACAGTGTCGTGACAGAGCCTGCGCATGAGGTGCATATTACGTGCATCAACGTCTGGGTTCAAGCAGGAGGTAGATATCTTTCAAAGTTTCCATTTAGTTATTTCTGCCCGGACCTCGTTTGCTTGCGAGGCTGCTTTGTGTACAGCCACAGCTGGCCTCTTCGCATCTTTGCCCTTGCAAAGCCCGGGAAGCGAACCACTCGTGCTGCAACAGCTTGAGGTTGCTAGAGGCTCAAGAGCCGAGTTCTGGACGATGCCGCCGCAGCAAGGAGGTCCACCAGAGTTCCCCATAAGGGATCGTGGGGACAGCCTGTGTCTGTCTTGTGAGTTGTCATTAGCATGGAAACGCCTGTTGAGATCGTCAAGATTATGCTCTTTCCGGAAATCTTGCATGCCTCTTCTGTTTCACACTCCTTGAGACCTCAAGCCCGAAAGAAAAGCATCGATATTTAGCTGGCAAGGTTTATCACAAAGCTGGAGTAGTGTTGCCGCTCCCATCGCTGCAGCTGCGGCTGCTGCTGCTGCTGCTGCTGCTGCTGCGCTAATTCTCCCGGCTGGACGCCGCCGCCCAAGGACCACTACCGCGACCCGCGACCACGATCAACGATCACGACAACGACAACGACCAGCAGCAGCAGCAGCAGCAGCAGCAGCAGCAGCCGCAGCACATCGCAGCACCACCACATCCACCGCCCACCACCGCCCACCACCGCCCACCACCGTCACCGCCGCCACCGCCGCCGCCGCCACCAGCCCCCCCCCCACCGCCACTGCCAGCCCTAATCCCTGACCCCCCCACCCCCGCTGCCTGTTTCGATGAACTCGCATCCAGATCGCTTGATGCCAAGACGTGAGCTCGGCAGGCAAGGGCCGCAAGGGCAAGGGTGCCAGAAGCTGAGCATGCTGAAGCCCAGCGCGGACTCTGTAGCTTGAGCAAGCTGTATAGGGTCGATGGGGTCCATGCTTCCCACTACTACGGCGAATGCAGAGACACGAGCAGCCACACACGAAAAGCTACTGCTGCTGCCGCTTACCCTATTGCACTTATGATGATGATGCTGGTGGTGGTGGTGGTGGTGGTGGTAGGTGATGGTGGTGTGCGCTGGTGATGACCATGACGATGACGGTGAATTTACTGCCGATGATGATCAAAATGGTCGTGGGAGTAATGGTGATGTTAATGATGCTGTTGCTGATGGTGACGAGAGGATCGTATTCTTACTATCTCGAAAAAGGAGACTCTCATAGTCATGAGATCGACACTGATGCCAAGTAGCAGTGCTGCTATGTGACGCTGATGGCGATGTGATGCTCTGTTGAAGTCCTATTCTCGTCCAGTGGCTTGCGACTATACTCTGACTCATACATATTGAGCTGTTGATGCTCCGTCCAAGCCAGGCCTCTGGACCGCAAAACGACCATTTAGTCTTGTTAGCAAAATATTCACCAAAGCCAACACATTCATTCAGAGCTCGAGCATCAACGACTGTCCAATTCTCCGCGAACCAGCGATTCCAGACCTAAGGGCAGCAGTGCCGAGGCTCGGGGAGGGTGGGCAAAGTGGTGAGAGCTGTCGACTGTTCGTTGCTTGAGCTCGTCCTTCAGGTTGAAAATCTCTAGCTTGGGTTTCCGGAATGAGCCTGTGGAAGACTATTGAACTGCTCAGACGGGAAGGACGAACCTCACCCAGCTATGCGGAGCGTGTTTCAGCCATCGAACACAAGGGTACTTGGGTTACCTGGAGGAAGTGCGAGAAGGAAATTAACCCACGAAAGTCCGCAGCCCAAACCCAATCATGGGCTCGGAACTCTGAGTGTTTTTGAGTCTGCCAGGGGAAGCGGTCGGGAGGCGGTGGCCGCACTGACACGAAGGCGCGACACGAAGGGCCAAGAGACTGACAATGTATGTGTGTGTATATATATGTGTAATATATATATATATATATATATTTATATATATTCATATATATTTATACAGAAAGATAAAAATTCAGATATAGATATAGACCTGAGAGATATGCAACCCCCCTCCAAAGGTTTTCCTTCGGCCTCATCAGAATCCGGGTAGGAATCCCTGGAGCCTTCGTCACAATCCATAAACTTCCTTCTCTATACAACAAGCCATCCAAACACGAACAACCCCTCCAAATACAAATAATCATACTAAGCATTGGCCATACCCCTTTTGTTGCTTACCATGCCAACCGTTGCCGACAACCCTTCCGGACACAGTTTTCTTTGCTAAGTGTTGTCATACCCCTTCTACTGCTGGTCGTACTGTTTTTTGCCGAAACCCCTTTAGAACGCAACAATCATGCTAAATTTTGTCATACCGTTTGTACTACTAATGATACTATGTATTGCCGAAAGGCCCTCCAACACAAGTCTCAACATAAGCAATCATGCTGAGTATTGCCTATACCCCTTGTACTCGTAATCGTGCTATGTTTCCCATGTATCCTCATCGTTATTTGCCTAGCAGAGCAGTCATGGCAATCTGTATCATCAGCGTCCTTTCCCGAGTACATTGCCTTGAACCCACCCCATCCAAACACGAGTAAGCATACGAAGTATTGCCAGTCATCCTCGTACTATCGTTCGAGCACAAAGAGTCGTGCTAAGTACTGCGAATAGTCCTTGTACATGGTGATGAAGGTGTCCTTGTTCCATGGTGTTGAACAAAACCCTCTTCAATACGCATCAACATGATTCGTATCTCCATCACCGCATGAACCTTAAATCACGACCGCCGAATATTATTGATTTCATGTGTTGTTGTTTCTCAGCCATATCAAAAATCACCACAATTCGCAGTAAACCACCACCCAGTATCAGTTTCTCTATGATAGTTTTTTGCCATTGCACGAGATCCGGTATCATGTTGAAAAGGTATCCTCGTATGAAATGCTCGCGCCGTCAATAGGCCCAGTATTAAGCCCATGCAAATCCACGTGGCAACATCAAGCCAAATACCATCTCACTTGGTTGATGAATGTATTTGCATTTCTACGTGGCATGCCTCACAGGTATTAATAGATGTGGATGTACTGTATAAGTACAACTTACATGAGATCCGTGTAGTATTTAGTTTGTTCGAGTGCTCGTTTGGTACCTAAGTAATGTAGTGTCCGCATGGGGTGACAAGTATACAAAGTATGCCGTGTACTCAGAAGTAGTATTGAACGAGTAAGTACTGGTCTTCTAAGCAGGCCCAAGACTCCTGGACCTCCCTTCCCACGGCAACGAAGTGCATGGTATTGCAGCTAGACCGCATCTTGTTTGATCTTGACCCTATCATGCAAGCCCCCGAGGTCACAACCAAATTCATTGCAGCAATGAAAGAAACCTACGAAGGTACGAACTTTAGCTCTTTTTCGCCCCAGCAACACGCCGCCTACTGGGTGGTCAGTATTTTTGAAGCAGACCTTACGGCCCTAATGCCCCCTCCTAAGCCGACGAGACTCCCTTGGAGTAACCCTAGCTGGGCCCTCACAGAGGAACACATCGTTAACATGTGGGGCCCGTTATACGAACCAGTTCTCCAGGCCACCTTTTACACAGCATCCTGGTTTGCACAGTACTTTAAGGAAGTGTGGAGCAAACACTTTGATGACCTAACGGCACATTACAACTTGGGAGACTGGGCACGCACAGTTGATGTCTCCCATTCCCCAATGCTCCCCTGGGATAGGCTGATTGCTTCTTCCCTGTGGCTTGCCTATGAACAGGCTAAGCAGGAACAGGAAAACCCCCCAGACCTGGCATGGGACCAACCTTTGCTAGAATGGCTACTACAAGGAGCATGGAAGCGCACCAGCACAGATCTTTTTCAGACCCTCGCTGAGGAATTTGTGTGGTACCTAGACAACGACCCCACCCTCAAAGCCTGCATCCAAGCCACCCCCCCTTTCGATAACAAGGGGGTGGGAACTTCGGCAGGGTTTGGTTCATTGTGCTTTGATGCTGTCTTTTGGCAGATAGCCGCGGTGTATGGAGTCCTCAGAGACACAAAGAAGTCCCAACTTCAGGCCCCCAACGATCAGCTAGTCAAACTACTAGAATACATTTTGCCGCTAATGCAGATTAGCACACAGGAGGCACAGGCGGTCCAATGGAGGGCCCACGTCAACAAAGGCAACATCATGGAAACCTTGATGTTAGCATTAGCAGAAGGAGGTGCGCACTTGCTAGCGTGGCGCACAGCATGGGCGATGTTTCAACACCAGCATAAGGACACAAGATATCCTTGGGTACAAGTTGTTTCGGTCTACTGACCTTGGCCTCAGAGCCACCTTTTCAGCAGTCCACAGAGACCCCCACAGCCTTACTTGAAGCCTATTAATGTACACTTCCAACAGGCCCAAATCCACTCAAACTTTCAACCACCCTCTCTCCTCGACCTTATAAGCCAGCCCCCACACCCTCAAAGCAGCGGCGACCTACAGATTACCGTTAGGATAGGTAAGTTGCTCTTAAGGAGCACACAGATTGCCATTATCTCCCAATGGGAGCAACAGATTGCCAATAGGACACTGATTGCCACTACCCCCTCGGGGGAACCAAAGATTGCCAATAGCAAGAGCAGCGCTCTTTTACAGCTGTGCCAGAGAAACCAGCCGACGAGTTTTGGGGTGATTCCCCATTTGTGCCAGCCTTTTCTTCCCGTTTGCCCTCGGTTCCCCTTTGCCGTTCAGGTTCAGGGTTCTGAGAGGCAAGGGTCTTCCTTCTCTTCGTCTTGTTTTGCCACGGGCCGTCAAGACGCCGCAACGGACTTCTGGTTCGAGTCGAGAAAAAATCGCAACCGCTTCCTGCATGCTTTGAAGGGTAACCACTGGTGTCGACTTTGTAATTGCTCGCTAGTCGACAGAGAGTTTGCATATTGTCCTGAAATTTTCCATTCAATACCTATTTGTCTCAAGAATGGAATGGCTGTACACAAATACCATTACTGCAGCGCCCACCTCTTTTTATGGTTTTTTAGACGGGGCACTCGCCACTATTCCGTATATTACGG